ATAGGGTGTCCTATTGAAAAAAATCGGATTTTGGTCAATATCTCGAAGTCAAAGCCAAACAGAAAAAAACTGAGAACCTCACTAAATACTGCTTGAGAAAATGCTTCCAAAAGGTCTTTACAGAAACGAATTATTCTCCTAAAGAAAAAAGTTATGGAGGCTTTACAGTATTGCTCAAAATCGAGAATCACCCTCTAGCGGTTAAACGGTTGAAGATATCAAAATGCAGTTTGCACCAATCAAGATTTCATGACATTTGAGCCTCAGAGTGGGGGTCCATTTTTTCCTATCTCTAAAAATAAAGGGTGTTTCCATAAGTGTCCAATTGGGACCACCCTGTACGGCCGTGAACATCCAAAAATATCGTCAGGAACTAATATAACGATCACGTTACGGTGCAGGCGACAGCACTGTTTGCACGGTCGCGCGTGGGGCAGATGGGAATAGGTACCATCAAATTCCTACGAGAATAATTTTGAATTCGCCGGTGAAGTCACGTGCCGGTCACGGCACTGTCACGTCACTAATATGTGTGAATCGACCTTTATTGTCGCTATATTCAAGTTAGGCGACAGGGTAGGTCAGATCAAGCTATGGTGATCTTGATTTTCAGTACAAGACGAATGCAATAAAAATCGAAAATGCATAACAAGCCCCTGTATATGTTAATTAGTAATTATACAGTGAGCACTTAAAGGTTTAAATAAAATCTATAAAAGATACAGAGTGGATTTTTTTCAAAAAACCTCGGACACTTCAATTTTTGATTTTAGTGGCTTTTTTTGAGGATAATACCATGTATACCTACAGGGTGACTCAAAAACAAGTTATGACAGCTAACTTTAATTTTTTGAATGAAATTACCAATTTTTTATTTCATTTTCAAATTCTACGCTAAATTCTGAACCTATTTCATGTATCATGTCCTATACCTATCTTCAACTGTTTCAGAAATATTGACAGTTGAAAATTGACTTTTTTGCAACTTTGACAGGCTGTAGAACATAAACGGTTAATTTTAGAGCAAAACCGATTATACGTTCTTGTCTTAGTTTTCCAAAAACTATCATTTGACACCAACTTTGAATTTAACCAGAGATTGAATTTAATTGGAATTTTTAATTATGGATTAAATTCAAAGTTGGTATCTAATGATGGTTTAGAAAAATCTGAGGAATGTAAAATCGGTTTTCCCCTAAAATTAACCGTTTAGATTCTACAGCCTGTCAAAGTTGCAAAAAAGTCAATTTTCAACTGTCAATATTTCCGAAACAGTTGAAGATAGGTATAGGACATGATGCATGAAATATGTTCATAAATTAACGTAGAATTTAAAAATGAAATCAAAAATTGGTGTTTTCATTAAAAAAAATAAAGTTAGCTGTCATAACTTGTTTTTGGGTCACCCTGTATATATGGTATTATCATCAAAAAAACGGTCAATAAAATCAAAAATTGACGTGTCCGAGGTTTTTTGAAAAATATTCACCCAGCATATTTTATAAATTTTATTCCAACCTTCACGTGCTCACTGTATACCTTCTCATGGCGTTTCAGTCTGCTAATCGAGTGAGCTGGAAAATTGCACAATGCCGTTTGCTGCATGACAACGTGAACGCCATAATTTTTACCAATAACGGGCCCAGAAAAACCCTTTAGGATGATAACCGGAGAGAAGTACCTAGTCATTGCGGCTAGATTTCATTCTCATTTTTGTGGAAGCCGTAGTTCGCCTTGTCCAAGGAAACCTGCCGCTGAGTGTTGGGGTCTGTTATGGGACTGATGGTAATGGTAAGCTGACCAAGGTTTCTACAACAACTGTTTGTGAAATTCAAACTGCTGTGGATGCATTTGGGCAAGCATGCAGGAGCATTGACCTGGAACTAAACATGGATTGAACAAAGGATAACGCACACCTAACATGGGATTTTTCCCATTTTTTGTTATGGTGTAGAGGATTTAATTCTGAACAACCTTTAAATGGGATGAAATCTTGTAGGTATTACGGCCTTTGAGATATGAGCGTTGAAAGATTAACTTTTTTGCGACTTTTTGTGTGGAGAGTATACGAGATACTGGTGCTACTGGTATTTATCATTCAAAATATTGACAGGTTCACATATATTTTACGTCACTCAAAAATTAATGTCAACATAGGCTAAGGCCGGTACCGCACTGGGGTCAATGTTGGCGCCAGTGCAGTCCCGGCCTTAGTCTATGTTGACATTTGTTAGTGACGTGAAATATGTCGACCTGTCAAAATTTTGACTGACAAACACCAGTTTTTCGTATACTCTTCAGACAAAAAGTCGCAAAAAAGTTCATTTTTCAACGCTCATATCTCAAAGACCGTAATACTCACAAGATTTCGTCCCATTTAAGGGTTGTTAAGAATTAAATCCTCTACAACATATTAAAAAATGGGCAAAATCCATATAGCCCAAAAATCCCATGTTAGGTGTGCGTTATCCTTTCTTATACTTACCAGTTTGTCCCGAGGCACGTGTAGGCCGCGGGTCCGACTGTTATCACCTCTAGAGTCGTCTCTCTACAAATGCAAATATTGATGCAGAAATTCACTTACTGAAGTGTGTCAGCGTAGTGTTCAGACAACTCTTGCGAAAAGTGTTTGACAACCATGATGTGGGCCCATGCCAACACTTCTTCATTGATGTTTTACTTTAACCAACCTCAGGCGACATCTGAGATGCTCGGCAAGGTGCCACCGGCGCTGCTCGAAAGGGGGCTCAAAGCCAAAGTAAACTGGCAGTATCGGCATCGTCGAACGATCGACAGAATTCTTGCGGAGACTAATTCCACAAACATTAAGACGATGCTCATCCATCATTAATCAAGAATTATGGCATTTTGTAAATGGAGTACCTCTGACATTTTTTTTGGGGATTTTATATTCTTCAAAACTATTTTCGGGAACTACATAAAATAGCGAATAAACCGGGGGACTTAAATGTTTTCTAATTCCTTTACCGAATTGTGTCCTGAACTCCTGAGCAACGGAAGATTAAAACAAACATATCAATCCTGAGATACATTATTTACCTTCCAATCGTTAAGTTTACTATTGCAACTTCGCCCTTCTACCTGATGGTGCTCCCAAATTTGAAATATGTTTTTATTATACAGGGTGTCCCAGCCGAGAGTGACCCATTTCAAATGCTTATAACTTTTAAACCATGTGAGCTAGCTACCTGCGGTTTGTGCCATTCGATTTCTCTTGGTCTAAAGTTTTTTCTAGTAGGTTTCAATTTTTTTTAAAACTTATACAGGGCGAGTAAAAAAAATCCGTTTTTCAACACCGAAATTCTTTACTATTTTCAATGGAACGCTCTGTATATCGCAACGTCAAAAAATAGATTCATGTTTAAGGTATCCATGTACCAATAGACATCGTCCCTAAAACTTGAAGTTTTAGCCGTAAAAAAATCAAATTCGAAATCTTGGTATTTTTGCAAACACCTATTTTCAAAGCTTCAACCTTATGTTTGTAACTACCTATATGTATATGTTAGCCATTCTGTTCCAGGCATTTGTGGATCAATAAATGGTTGAATGAATTGTGTAACATTTCCTGGAAAATCGCTTCAATGACATTACAAATGTTCCACTTGAGATCTTCCAGGCTATTTTAGCAAAGTATTACCGCATCTTTCCTTGACATAACGCCAGAAAAAAAAGTCTAGAACTCTCAAGTCAAGAGAGTAAGGTGTCTATTCTATAGGCCAGCGGCCAGCTCTCCTTATCCGTCTTTCCCCAAATGTCATATCTAGTGATTCCCTTGCTATTAATGAATAATGAGGTGGGGGCATCATCCTGCAGAAAATAGATATCATTCAAGATAACCTCCTGTCTCAACTATAAGAAAAAGACCATATCAGGGTATACAGTTTCTGTTATTGTTGGTTCATCAATGAAAATGGTCTGTATTTTTTCTCAATAGAGATTGCACACCAAACTGTTATTATTGGGGTATCTCTATTTAATGAGTTCCAGAGAAAATACTTTGGCACTCGTTAAATTTTCTTGGAAAATATATCTCAACTTAATTGATATCTAACTAGACAGTTCCAAAATTGTTTGCCATAGTGATATCAAGTTCCTACAACATGAAGTTGCATGCGTTTGCAAAAATACCAAGATTTCGATTTTGATTTTTTTTCGGCTAAAACTTCAAGTTTTAGGGACGATGTCTATTGGTACATGGAAACCTTAAACATTAATCTTTTTTTTGACGTTGTGATATACAAGGTGTTCAATTAGAAATAGTAGAGAATTTCGATGTTGAAAAACGGATTTTTTTGTACTCGCCCTGTATAAGTTTCAAAAAAATTTGAAACCCACTGGAAAAAACTTTAGACCAAGAGAAATCGAATGGCACAAACCGCAGGTAGCTAGCTCACCCGGTTTAAAAGTTATAAGCATTTAAAATGGGTCACTCTCGGCTGGGACACCCTGTATTATAATTATCACAATGTAAAGGCATTAAAAAGTATAAATTGGCCAAGAAATAATGTTTGTTCCACTGTTTTCGGTCGGGAAGAAATCAAACACCTACAATACAAAAATGAGAGATAGTTCATTTTCGCCATTCAGACAGACGAAAAAATATCAAGGGTTTTGAGAACCAGAAGGCGCTAGTGAATCACTCATAAAATATCATATGTCAGCATCAGTCAATTGCAGAAAATTTTGAAATTGTATTAAGGCAGAAAGTTAAAAGAAAACTGTAAGTACAAGGTGAGCATATCTTTTCATGGCGCAGTTGTTATTGAATCATTTATTAATGCCAATTTCGGAGCAATAAAAATTCCCGAGTATATAATCATTACAAATTCTCAAACCACCGCCCACGTCAATCTGATACCGTCACCCAAACAATTGTCAATCGAGGTAGCTGATTCTAGGTACCAATCTAATGGTTCCCCACCTGGGAGAACCTTTTATACAATGTGACGTAGATTCCGCGGCAAAATTCTATGCACGCGGCTCATAGCAGAAGTGAGCTAACCGTAGTTAAGATCGAGTCTTCGTCGCCCCGCGAAGTGTGGTTCGCGATTGAAAGGAGAAGAGCGTTTTTCGGTACGCGGCGGTCGCATCCACAGGTACCACCTTTGGATTTGTTTGTGCTTTCATCAGTTCTAAGCTTGGATACGCGAGCCGGCACTTTGCCGCTGCTGAACTTTATCTAGGTGAGTTCGGCTGACTATGGTTCTCACAGGAGAGAGCAGATATATATTTTTTAATAGGAAAATATGATGAGAATATTTTCCATATTATTTGAGGCTATAATGGAATTTTGAAAGGAGCTTTGCAATTATTATGTTAAAGGTTTTTTGAGTTTTTAAAAAGCACAAATTACAGAAAAAAAGTAACAAGAGGAATTTAGAAAGCTTTCATCGCTAAGTATTTTTCAGGTTTTTCAGAAAACTGCTCTGATCCAAAATAAATATTGTTGTTTTCATTTCCTGTAACTGTAAAATTTATTAAGCCATTTCGTAAAAGCACCTCGAGCCATGTATGTCATTCCCGCTGGATCGCGTATACCTAGACAAAGGGGCTGTCAGTAAAGTTTTGCTTCCGGATTTCCCATTATTAAAGACATAGGTTGAACTTTACTTCTGGAAGTTTACATGGATAATAATAGTCCCGAGGTCTTTTGTTACAAAACAAGGCAATCTTAGATAATATAATTTTGTTTTTAATATACAAAGTCAAAGTGGCCCATGTATTTCTAACAAACGATTCTGGCTTCTGAACCACTATAATACACATAGCTAGCAAGGAATTTAATCCCTAGAATGCTGAAAAAAGTCGTTAAGTATCTCATTTTATGCTTTTTCAGTGAACACTTTTTGTTTGCAAGATAAAAGTTCTGATATGTGGCACAATGGGATTTTTTTTTCCGGAAGGGCCCAGTTACCATTTTCAGACGTAATTTTTTCATCTGTCAAATATTGCTGCTTGTTCTGTTAAGAAAAGTGAAGAAATTATTTTTTGTGTATGTTTTTTTTTATGAACTTACAATTAATTTATATGCGGAGTTGTTGGTTGGTGATAGGTCAGTAAAACAGCTCTAAGCTCTAAGCTGTTTTACTGACGTATCACCAACCAACAACTCCGCATCTAAATCATCTTTTGTCCTGAAAAATTTGCGATAATGATATTCAGACTCTTTGACATAGGCACCCCTCAAAATATTGGAAAATCGGTAGGTACATGCCTTTGACAAACAGAACTTTCATATAAATGATGTAAGGGTTATAGAGTTGAACAGATGTAATTTCAGGAAATTCTGTTTTTGTGTGCTCTTTTTAGTTTGTATTCACCAGAAAGCAATTTTAACATTTTTCTAGATGACTTTAGTTACTGTGAATTTTATAAAGCTTCGGTATTCAATTTTTTATTTTCTAACCCACCACAAACACAATGGACCTGCAAGGTTGCAACGCATGAATGCTTTGCTACTACTATCTATGCATTCTACATCAACTAGCCTCATTATAACATAAAAACTAGTTGGAGGAATTTAGTGAGGAGACAAGGTAATACCCGCGAGTCCGGTACTTACAAAATAGATACAATTAAGTGTATGTATGTCTGTTTTTATACGATTATATTTTGTACATTTGAAACAATCTCAAGCCATGTACCTACATATGTTTTGGTTTCTTTTTAAACTGGGTTGAGACCCACAAAGACTTCAATAATATCTTTAGGTATAGTGTTTTATTAGTTGGTACCTCAAACTCATATTGATTGCATGATATCGATGGCATTGAAACGACAATAATAAACTTGATTGTACTTTTCTTACATTTAAAATACCAATGAACAATAAATATGTAGATGTTATAAAGGTGATTCTTACTAAACCTTGCAAAAAAATCTTCATACATAATACAACCAGCTTTAGGTCAAGGAATCTTTAATATTCATTGCAAACTTTCACCATGATGGTTGAATAATACCAATTATTTATCAGATTTCTCTCGTTGTAATATAAAGTTTATAAAAATCCATCAAAAAAACAATTTTGTTGATTACCAATAATACCTAACAAAAGTCGTTTTTAAAAAATACAATAGAAATATTTTCTAGCTGGAACTGTTTTCTTCTCTTCTATTCCTGCATGTATAGCTCAAGAAATTTATACCTGGGCCGCAAAAAAATTTGCGAGGGCAGGCTGATTTTTCCGGGGCTGATTGGGGGCTGTGTCCTGAGTATTGAGCCAAAAAATCACACTCGAAAGCTTTGTGCGTTCGGCCCTATTGGCCTTTTTCTTATTTATGTTTTTTCGACAAAATGACCTTTACAAAACTTGTAGATAATTACATTCTGATCAACTTTGCCTCATAACTTTTTTTGTTAGTTATTTTACTTTAGGCGCTGCGGCCATTTTAGTGCTTCAGAATTGGCAAAAAAATTAAATAGCAAACCTGCAGACTATTATACCTAATGAAATTCTCTATTACTTTGCTTGATGATATTTTATTGTAACTTTATTTCTTTGGCTTGTACGGCCTTTCAGGCATTTGAAAAATCTTCTTTGACTTGGTGGACATTGCGGCATGCATAGCGTTTCTAAGGATTTGACACATTTTGCAGGTAAAATGTGGCGTTTCGGGAAATTGAAACTTTGCCGATCGAAAGATATTGTTGATATTGGCAAATATCTTGAGATCGGCAAAAGGCACTTTTTGCTCGTAATGCACATTTGATTTTTTTTACAATCGCATTTGTTAAAAATAGTTCAGGTTCAAAAAAACCAGTAGCAAAAGCGAGCGCTTTTACTACTTTGCCGCTTTAGAGCGACAAAGTGAAGGACTCTGACGTAATTTGACGCTCTAAAGCGGCAAAGTGGGGGTCATCAGGAAACGTCTACTTTGCGAGCACAAATCTAATCGACAAAGTCTACTTTCTAGGCCGATTGTAGCAAAAAAAAAAACATTTTGTCACTTTTCAGACAGATAACAGGTCCCAGTATTCACACCAGTATTGTCAAAAAAAAAACATCATTTCGATTTCACGCTTTCACTCCAGGAAAATGATTTGACCGGATTAGTGATGTAATGTATTCTTTCCTGGACTGAAACCGATAACGTAATGGAGTATATTACCAGTAATTTTATTAAAGTTACACTAGTCTGCAGGTTTGCTATTTAATTTTTTTGCGAATTCTGGAGCACTAAAATGGCCGCAACGCCTAAACTAAAATAGCTAGCAAAAAAAGGCATGAAGCAAAGTTGATCATAATGTAATTATCTACAAGTTTTGTTAAGGTTATTTTGTCGAAAAAAAATAAATAAGAAAAAGGCCAATAGGGCCGAACGCACAAGGCTTTCAAGTGTGATTTCTTAGCTCAATACTCAGGATACAGTCTCCAATCAGCCCTGAAAAAATCAGCCTGCCCTCGCAAAATTTTTTGAAAAACCCATAAATTTCTTGGACTAGTAGGCCTCTTTCAACAGTTTTCACGTTCTACAACTTATAGAGAAATCTGGATCCGATTTGTGCTATCTGTCCACAGCTTATCTTGCCATCCTGGTAAAATAACAAGATCATTTACCGATTCCTTCCGATTTTTGTTTCTGGTATACGCACTTTAGTGTCTTGGCTTTCTTTGTCTCTTGGAATCATTCTGAATCTACATTGGGTATTTCAGGGTTATACTCTTCTATTAGTACCTATCGATTTACATTAATATTTATGAAAGCTTTGTGCGTACCTATTCTTCTGTAACTTCAGTCAGTTATTGTTGCTACAAGCTACTAGGTACTTGTCATTGGTTGATTCCAAGACTGTTATAAGTAGTCAATCCACCTTGCCTTGTGCCCAATTATAAAAATACTAACAATCAATAATATACCATCTTAATTGAACCATTTCTTTATACGCTAATAACCCACAATAAATGCCAATTTGCATTAACAAACAACAATGGAAGCTATAGCAACTATTGTGTGGCTCATTTAAATACAATGGAGATTTCCTCTTTGTGACAGGAATATTTTCAATGGAAAACTGGGTTAATAATATGATGGCTGAATTTCTAAATTTTCAGCAGGGATTCAAGGATTTTATTTGCAGCAAAACCAAGAGGCCACGCATGCAAACATGCTTCTTTCTTCTAACGTTAATTTTACCATTCCGCAATAGCATAAATAAATCACAATTGCCGTAGAATTTTAAAATACCAGTAATAATCGTAGACTATAATGAAGACACTCTAAACAATTTTAGAAGCACGTAACCGTGAAACAATAACAATTCTAATTACATATGAAGGTTGATGGTCGGATTTAAACACAAAGCAGATGATATAACCCGAGTCTAATAATTTCTAGATTATTTCCTGGTTTTCTTGAACTATTTTAAAGATGATGTGGATTTAATGTTACTGACCGCGGCAAATGAAACGGGAATCGTAATTACATATGCATTAATAGGAGAAAGATATAATGGCGTTTTTTTAGGCAAATTATTATTAAATTGGAGGAAACATAGTTTTATGGAGTGTTGGCACAGCATATACAAAAACAATCAGCAGGCTAACTCTCACGGGCATCTTTTCTGCGCACGCCGCCATTAGGGGATACGATTCTGACATAACGCTGTCATTAAACGGCAGGGGCGCCGAAATTTCATTTTATTTGTTTATTTCTGACGGGGGTCAAAGGCGTGCGGTGTAGAGCGAAATTTTAGCTATGATTTTCAAAATGATTTTAGTATATTCGTGTTGTCATTTATGATTTTATCTATTATCATTCTTGTATATTCAATAATAATAATGAATTAGTAATTATAAATATTATTTATATCTAAGTAAAAATAAATAAGTTTATTTAAAGCCAATACGACTCTGTGAGACGAAAGAAAAAACCTAAATTATTGTTAATCAGGCCCTGTCTCGTATCCCAAAATGGCCGCTAGAGACATCCCGACCATGAATTCCTTTATTACACGGGCTGTCACTCGAGTTAGCCTGCTGATTGTTTTTGTATATGCTGTGGTGTTGGCCTAATAGAGAATCCGAACAGCTTTACACTCTTGTTTTCTGGTGACTTTGAAAACGGAAATATTTGAGAAATTTCTCAAATGCCGCTTAGAGTAATTTTACGCAAACAATGTGAAATATTTTCTAATTATTATTCTATAGTTTTCTTTAAAAAAAATTGTAGTACAATAATAA